GTCTGGGGGGGGGGGGTGTGTGAAGCCTTGCTTAGGAGGACTGGTGGTCCCAGGAGCATCTCCTGGGCTCACCCATCAGCAGCCCTGGTCAGCTCTGCTCTGTGAACACTAGCAAATGGGTTATGCAGCCTGGATGCACCTAGACCTTGGGGGGGCGGGGGGGGAGGAGTTGCATTGCTGGTGGTGTTGGCCCCACTCTCCAAGCTGGACCTGCCCCGTCCACCTCACTAAGCTCGGACAGCTTTGACTCCAGCTCAGGGGTTTGCTGTGGAGGCAAAGGTATGAGCATGATATGGGGGTCTGCAAGCCTGAGACAGGCTGTGCTTGCTGCAGAGCTGTGCTCCTGGGTCACCTCTGCCATCAGCCCATCCCTGTGGCATCAGCCTCCTACCTCTGGGCAGGGTGAAGGTGAATTTCCTCCTCTGGAAGGAGTAGATCTGGTCAAGGTCGCTCTGCTCGATGGTGTCGGTGGTGCCGGTGCTGCTCTGGATGACCTTCCCGCTGTTGATGCGGAGCTGAATGCCGGTGCCAGAGCCCTGCAGCAGCGGGTTCTCCACGGTGAGCCGCAGGGCGTAGCGGCCCCGCTGGTTAAACTGGGCGCTGACCACCTCAAACTCAAAATCCAGGGTCTTCTCCTCAGCCTTCAGCCGGGAGCGCTGCAGGGCCGGGGGGATGCGAGGCTCCCCTGCCTTGCCTGCCATGGGGATGACAGAGATGGGATCGGAGATGAACCCTCCTTGATAGCAGGGACCTTACAGATCTCTGCCCTAGAGCAAGCCCTCCTGGCAGCCTGGAGCAGGTTTCTGAGCCGAGCTGGCTCTGCTGCCACTCTTCCCTTCTCCTCTCCAGCTGGGAAAGCTCCTGAGGGTGCCCCTGGGTATGTGTTGGCTTCAAATCTCAGCAGGCAGCTTTCAAAGGCAGCAAAAAAAGGAAAGGAAATCCCCACCCCTGAAAAAGCATCCTTCAGTGCCGCAGGGAGATGCTGAGAGCTTTCCTGCCCCTGTGCAATGGCAGGGACAGGGGCTTTGAACACCAGTTTGTTTGCTGGGAAACCAGGTAACTAGATGCAAAGCAGTGGCTGCCTTCCAGCAAACAGCCTGGGATATCCAGGGTGATGCTGAGCGATGCAACACAGACGTGTGTGTGCATACCGGGTGTGCTGGGGGGGTGCGTGTGTGTGCGTGTGTCCCTGCAGCGGGGAGTTGATGGCTCCTCGAGCCCTTTGCTTTGGGAGATTCACCAGAAAGGCGTTTGCTGGATGTTGCAGAGCCTTCAGGAGATGCTGGTGCCGAGGGTGGTGCGAGCCATGCCGGCTACTCCCATGTGTTGCTGGCCCCCGTGGGACTATCCCACTCCTCCTGCACCCACGGGCTGTTTGCTGGATCTCCTGCTGATGGGACCAGGCAGCCAGGCCTGCAGCTGCTTTTTGCTTTGTCTCTAAGGCAAGTTTTTAGCTGGGTTTGCCAGTGGAAGTGGCTCCCCACAGGGTCAGGCAAGCCAGGGGAGGGGAACGGGATGAGCCTGGGGAGCAGTGCTTGGCTGTTAGGTCAGCTCCCAGAAGGGATAGGGGGCACTTGCCCACCTAATCCTAACGCCTGGTAACTTTGCAGACAAGCCCAAGGCAGAAACTGCCCCATGGCTTAAAGCGTCTCTACAAAACAAGCAGTTGAAATGGTTCTTTGCACGGACGGCTTGGAGATGTGCATTCGCAGCCTGCCTGGGAACTTGCTGGGCTTTGGGCACCAAGGGCTCAACACAGAGCTGGGATCTTGCTGCTGCAGCAAGGGCTGGGAATGCCCTGAGAGTCACAACTGGGCTGCAGAAGGGAAATTGGGGCTGGTGGGGTGCCTGCATGTGGGTCAGGAGCCGTTCAGGGGTGATGTCCTGAATGAAAGCTGGTTGCAAAGGGGTTTTGGTCCACGTCTGCTCTCCTCTAGCTCAGCATTACACGGACTGCTCTTTCCTGCACAGAAGTATGTGATTCTGGCTGGTGCAACTGGAGCTGAGCTCCCTGCCTGCTAAACCTGCTGCCGAGCCAGCTGAGCATCCAGAGGTTAGTTCCACCATGGATATTTTGGGACTGACATCAAGGGGGTTGATGGTCTGGGGTGGGCAGGAGCTGGAACAGCACAGTCTGATCCTCGCCAGGAGCCCCCTGTCATATCTCATTCCCCCATCGCCACTGAGAATAGCACGTTCCCACAGCTTTCGGGATGTTTCCAGTGAAATGTGAGCTGGAGCCGGGCTACCAGATGGCCCTTCTCTAAGGCAGCTCCGTGCTCCATATAAAAAGCCACATTCCAGTCTCTTCACGCTGGTGCAAGCTTGAAACAACAAGGTTATCCTAGGGGGGAGCAGGTTGGAGGATAAAGCAGCATCTGAGACCCTGGGGCATAAGACTTTTTTGCTTTTTTTTCTAGCATGGGAGCAGCCCAGGGATCTGCAAGGCAGCCGGCCAAGACCCATACCGAAATCACTGCCCCCAAGAATCCCTTTGGAAGGGTGCGTGGGCCATGGATGGACTCGCTAAAAATAAATCCTGGTGACTCACAGCTCCTTGCTGCTTCCAGGGAGGCCGATTGTACCTCCTGGTCCTTCCTCAGTTTCTATTTGGGAAAGAAAAATACAGGTTGGAGCCCTGCCTTGAAGCACCGATCCTGAACACAACCTTGGCTGACGCGTTTAACCTCCTGCCGTGGTGAGGATGTTGTGGAGGTCAGGATGAGGACAGGAGGGAAACGGGCCACAATTCAGGGGGTTTTGGGCACCGAGTTGGGTTTAAAGCAGAAAAGGGTGATCTGTGTGGTGCTAAGCTTGAGCTGGTGAAATGGAGGTGGGGGGGGTCACTCCCCTGCCAGTCAAGCCTGTCGGGAAGAGTGCTAATGTCTCCAGGGCGCTCAGATATGCTGACGGCTGGATTGCTTCCTTGAGAGGGCTGAGAGTATAAATGCTTTTAATGCTGTTGGAGGGTTTGGTGGTTCTTTCCCCTGATGGCTGGAGACCGCTCGGTGCTCCCAAAGCAGAGATGTGCATGAACAAGATGGTTTCTCCCAGCCGGGAGCCCAGGGATGGCTTGAATTGAGTGTGCGATGCTGCTCTGAGTTGTTTCACCTACAAAATCGTGGCAATCTGAGCTGCTAGCCCTCTATGGAGGTGTCACAGTTGTGCTTATCTGTGCAGCTGGGACTTGCTCCC